TTTTAGGGTTTTCATAGTTGGTGTATGCTGTGAGTATATTTTGACATCCCCATTTCGGTAAAGTTGAATATAACAGTTCATGCATTTCGAGCTAAGAATGGGTTTTCGATTTGGAGAAGAGGAGGCAATAAATTTTTGACCTTCAGAGCAATCCAGTTTTTCAATTACCAATTACAAGTTTTGAATATTCTTGAATCTAGCTGCTCTTTTCTTAAAACAGAAAGGAAAAAGAGCAAAAATAATATTACTATTAGATTTGTGGTTCGTTGGCCCCCGACGGTTGGTTGAACCGGGCGATAGCTTCGGGATCGATAGCTCAGTGAGGTATATCAAAAAAAAAAAAGGGCTGCAATTCTGATAGAAAACTGAGTTCTGATTGTAGTCCAAGCACAAAGTTTTGATTTGCAAGGTTTTTAAAAGCAAAAATAATTAATTTTTCTTAGATTTGTGTGAGGAATTTAAGTATTCAACTATTTGAAGAAATTGCCATCGGGATCCCCCGATGGGTGACCTAGTGGTCGAGAGTTAAAATAACAACCTTTGAATAGCAGAAGCTAAAGTACATGAATCCATACCATATGCCTAAGAGCTGGTGGAGAGAGTTTTCTGGTATCTGTGCTAGCGAAAAGTAGTAGGTAACTAGTGGATTAGTCGAGATGCCCACAAACTGCCTTGTACACCAGTGTGCAAGGCAAGGGGTTTGACTCGGATATAGGATTTCCGAAAAGACATTGCAATCAAGGTTTTTCTTGTTGGAGGGAATTGTCTTCCATTCTTTGGAACTTGGAAAAAGCAAGGGGTTTGATTCGGAAATAGGATTTCCTATGGTCCTTGTTTTCCACATTCAGACTTCATACTTTCTTTTTGGGTTCTTGAAGTGATAATCAAAAGTTGCTTGAGAATCTTTGTATTTCCTTTGTAACTTATCAAAAACAAAATAAAAAATCCATGTAATTCCTTTGTACCTTAGTCTTTCGCATCACACCTAGAAGTTTTCTTATATTGGACATCTATATCTCGTAGACGAGAAAAGTTTGGCAACTTGCAGCTATTAACAGCCTGGTATACCATCTTCTCTGCAGGGAAAACTTCTTAAACCAGCACAGAGATTAGTTGCTTTTGCAATTCTTCAGCAGGTTTATTCCTCACAAGAGCCTTCTTCAAACCCGTTCATTTCGTTGCTAGTAAATGTAAGTGCAGATTATTAATGTTCATCATGATTCCATTTGCTAATATTTTGTGTCCTGCAAATTGAATGGCTGTGAAGCCCTGTAACATGCAAAATGTTTTCAATGCAATATTAAAGTATATTCTCTGAAAGATTTGTGCTAAGAATTCTCCTTTTTTCTTGTGGAATTTAATAAATTATAGAACTGTACTCATGCTCGACTTTGTAATGTTAGGATGTCCAACAGTGTATAGCGTCTCATGCATTTACATCTTCAGCACTTTTGGTTGCTACTCGTGGTTCTTTTTCTTAATTAAGCAGAAGTATAGTAGAAACTGCTTTCTAGTTTCCACAGACTAAGGTTTGTACATCACGGTGATGGAAGGTATCGAGTTGAAAAAATGGGTAGTTGCAGGTCGGAAGAAATTTAGAGGTTCCCTTACTTTTAGGTATATCTTGACTCTTGAGGGAGGTGCAGGATGGGGCTACAAAGTTATTTATAGACATTACTAAGAGATGGCAGAAAGGCATTCATGAAGAAAAGGAACTAAAGGGAAGTGTAATGAACGTGAAATAAGTTGAAAAGTAAAGTGCAGCAAGTAGAAATGGTGAGGATGGCAAAGAAAGTGCAAGTGAAAGGGAAAGCTGTTGTAACTTCTGACTCTAGCTTTTATGATCTTGATTTAAGTAGAATAATACTCCTTTTGCCTCTTGTTATTTGTAGCTTCTATAACTGTCTAAATCCTAGAAAACCAACTCTAGCATGATGCTTTCCAGCAAAAGAAGAAAACCTGCAATATATACTAAGCTGATGCTTTCAACCTTTAGCGCAAGAAAGTGATGGAAGAAAACCCAAGAATTATTGCAGCGCTGTAAAACATATAAGATCTATCATGCATACAGGTAGAGTGCATCATTAATGCTTTTTTTTTTTTGGATAAGGTAAAGGAAGTGCATCATTAATGCTTAGCTGAGTGTAAAGAAACCTTTTTATGTGTCTATCCATATGTAGACTATCTCCGGTACACAATTGGGAAGTTTTCACTGTTCTTCGAACACATAAAAGAGGATGTAAAAACTCTGAGGCAGATTGAGACAGTTATGGAAGCTTTGTGGTAAAAGCAGGATCAGTTAATGAAATTTCGAGAAAATTAGCGGGATCAGTACCTTAAATTGTTGGACGAAGAAACTGGTTAATCAAGCTTAGTCGCTGATGAGATATATTCTTGGAAGCTGAGCAGATTCAGGATTTTCATTCTAACCAGCCTTTGGACTCAATAACAACAACAACAACAAACCCAGTATGTTGTTCCCAACAGGTGGGGTCTGGGGAGGGTAGTCTGTACACAGACCTTACCCCTACCTAGGCAGGTAGAGAGGTTGTTTCCAATAGACCCTCGGCTCGGAAAGGGTGAGAAGAAGAAGAAGAAAAGCAAGAAAGGAAGAGAGAAGGAAGAGAGAGGAAAAAGATGGAGATAAAGGATAAGTAGTACCAAAAAATATCAACAGGGAATACAATACCTGAGGCGGATAAGCCCACATAACGCAATAAAAATCTAAGAATATGAAGGGACAGCCCTTCGACTCACTAAAGTTTATATTATGATTTGGATATTTAGGTGCATGCAACTTGCTAACAGTGTTCAAGGGAAGGGGTAGTATAAATAGTTATATGTGGGGGTAAATTTTAATTGTAAGACTGGAAATTGTAAGTCTCTTGACATGAAAAAGCAAAAATAACATGACTTTCTGTGAGCTGTGCACGAATACAGAGAGTCTTATACTGCTTTGGTAGCTGATCTTTTGTAGTATTCACGAACTATCTATCTCATAATACTCTCTCCCTTCACATGCACCTCAAACCACACACTTAACAATGAGCTTTCATTCACTATGAATTTAGTATATCACTTTCTTTACCTGTAAGTTATAGCTCTTAAAAGTGATTTATATGACACATTCTTGCTTAAATTCCTTGATAGTTGTGATTAGATGACCTTTATGTCTTAGCTTTAATTATTTGTTTTGCTTATTTGCAGGCAGCCTGTGACGAAGAAGCTGAACGATGTGAAAGAGCTTTTATTCTTCAGTTGTTGGGCTCAGCCAGCTCAACCAGTAGCAGAGAGGTTTAACTATTGGTTTCCTGTTGTGTGTATAACGGTCATGTTTAGAGGGTAAAAAGGCCCTGGTTTTGTGCTCTTGCTTCTGATGTTTAAAGCTTAAAACAAACGGTATTTTGTGTAAGATCAGTTGTAAATTAAGGGCTATAGTTGTCTGTGATGGATTTCTTCAATCACAAGAGAATATAATACTAAACTATTTCAGCTTGTTATGATGATAAAATTGGTCATTTACTTTTTAAAAAAAAAAAAGAGAATAGGTCCATTGCTGCAGAATAACTGTTCATCCACCCAGATGGCTTACTGGGTATTGTGGTCACCTGTATGATAGATTGCTAAATAGAGTTTATTGTGTAGGCGAAATAGAGCTTTTTGTCATGGTCTTGTGAGTAGTACAACAGCTGCACTGAACTGATGGAAATGTTTCATCATTGAGATGGGGGAAAGACAGAATAGCCAAACCTTACTATACCTGCAGTATTAAAATGCAATTCCGTTCTAAGATGCAAAAGACACTTTGAATATGCTATATCAACATAATTTTTCTGTCTTTGCGCCTTTCCAATTTTAAGCTTGTCAGAAGTCGAAAATGCATTTTATGCCCTGTCCCGCTCAACCCCCAGACCAGGAAAGGGAAAAAAAAGTATATTAAGTCTGGTCAGTGTTATTTGGTTTATAATTCTGCTCAGTATGTTTTAAAGCATCTTAGTTTGTAACTCTAGTCAAAATTATTTGGTTTCCTTTACCCCGAGTGCTTATTTTTGAAGTTATGCCATATTAGAACTGTTTCAGAAGTAATACCTCATTGCAGGTTCTTAAGCAATCAGCAACAGATTACATGAAAATGTTTGATCCTTCACAACATGTAAGTGACCAATACTCTCATGTCATCTTTTTCATTACTGGTGGTTACATGTACGTTAACTTATCCTCTTTCATCTCAATTTTGAACTTCACTAGTCTTTCCCCCAACGAGAGCAGTTGCAACAGCAATATGGTAGCAAAGCTCTACCAGAACAGCTTCATTGCTTGTTCAGGAACAATTACGTGAAAAATAGCATTCCTGACCCTGATGTACCTCGTGGCTGTGATAGCAATTCATCAGAGTATGACTCCATGCTTTTATTTCTTGGTATTCTGTTTAGGTTACTACTTTATCACCAAAGACCCCAGTTCCCCCCTCTTTGTTTCTCCTTCACTGACCCACAACTGGAGAAGTTTTTTTTCCCTGTGAATTTTCCATCCTGGTATCTTAGTCTTGCATTGATAACTCAAGTCGGTCAATGATTTCTTATTCTTGGACATTATTTAATATTTAGCATTGGGAAATTTCAGGTTTGATCTTCTCCCTGGATCTAAACCTAAGATTGGATCTGGGGATGTTGATGAGACGATAACTGGATTGTTATCAAATTTGTCATTGGAAGGATTAGGACCTCAATGGATAAGGCCTCATCCTCCCAGGCTTCTTGTATTGGATGGAGAGGTAAGGACTACGTGCTGTTATGTCAACGGAATAAATTGATCAATTTCTGGAGTATGTTAGATAACCCTCATATCTGCTGCAGCTAGTGTGGCTAAACCCTGATTACAATTATGAGCTTCTATGGGATCATGGGATGTGTGCCGATACTAGCAGAGGAGCTGCAGTCAGGGATTTGATTGCAAAAGCTCTAAAAGGTCCACTTGCACCTGCTCAGCAAGAGGTGCATATGCTTCCTGTTGGATATTCCACTACATACTTGATCAAGTTCTATTATTATTATTATTATTATTATTATTATCCAAATGACTGATTCACGAAATAAAGGCTTTTTTTCCTGATAAGTAGGTCAATCTTGGCCTTTTTTCTTGGATTTCTATGGCCATTCCTTGTGGATATAATTTCATGATTGACCTTTATGAGAAAAATGTAGGGTTGCATACCAATGAGAAAAGTGACAAGGTGGAGCATATCCAAAGAAGGTCAAGTTTGCTTATTCGTATTTATTGAACCTCGGTTTTCTGGTTCTACTTCTCCACGAAACCCCAAAAAACAAACAAACAAAAAAAAAGATCTGGTGGTTCAACTACATACCTGGTGGAATGTTGTCTAGACTTTGCTAGTTTTGCAATTGACCATGCCGACTTTGAATGTTGGCAACGCTGGGCAAATAGCTGCTCTAGTAGATCCTAAGTAGGATAGATAAAGACTGGTACTAAGTTGGAGCTGCAGTATATAATTCTCTAAGGAACTGATGAAGTCTCATAGATGTTCAGCCTAATCTACATGCTCATCCTACACCAGAAAGTAAGCAAAAGTATACTAGTGCATTTGATCTTCAAATGAGTCAGCTTTATGTTCAAAAACGTATGTGATTCTTTTCTTTTATAATGTCCACCAGATGCATGCTGGGATAGTATTCCATATTCTTCTTTGGTTCCACCCAGACCTTTCCTGTTCTAGCTCCTTGGTGGTTCTTAGCATGACCAATCTGAGACCCAAAAGGTTTAGACAATACGCCATAACTGGGATGCTGGGCAATCCCAGCCTCTTCCCTATGTGGGTAGCTTTTGCTGCAGATTTGCAATCCTTGTTCAGAAGATTGTCTTGTCAAACAGGTTTCATAAGCCACTACGAAGAGTTAAACCATCTTATATGGTGCTTTTTTGGAGATCCGTTTTCAGCGCTAGGATGAGAGATTTCTGACCATATCCTGCAAGTAAGCAGAGAGTTGTAGCAAGATTCACAGTGAAGACCCTATTGCTCTGTATTGTCCAATTTAGCCTGTCTGCTTTGAGGTGAGACCGTGAAAGCCAGTAAATTGAGAAACTATACTATCCTTTTCAATTCCCAATAACTCCTGAAGACAATGTTCCTGCCATATTTACTTCTGCAATATCCAACTCTATTTCTGTATTCTGGAAAACGGTCAAAGGATCAATGAATCGTTGTTTGAGCTCCAGTTATCATGCGAGAAGGTATCCTGCAGCATCACTTGCCTTGCAGCAGATTCTGTCAACTAAACCATTCCAATTTCCTTGATATGTTTCCTGTTTCCATACCCCTAACTGATGAGGAGTTGTCACGCCAAGCATTCTGCATCCCATACTTTTCTTTCATTACTTTCTTCATTAGGGCCTATTTAAAGACTCATCTCCCGAAAACCACTTTCTTGGAGCCTTGGGCTATTCCTTCTCATTGGCTGTGACAGAGCTCCACCTCTCCAGCTGATACGCCCTCTTGTTCCTTAGTAGAACCAGATATCTCCTATGGTTAACCCGTCTCCTCTATTCTTTGCTGGCATAAGGAACAAGAACATGACATATCTTGGCAGATAGTCTAGTACATTGTTGATGAGGATCAGTCGACCCACCAAAGAAAAGTATTGCCTCTTCCAACATGCCAGCTTCCTTTCACATTTCTGCCCCATCCCTTGCCAAATGCCTCCAGATTTGTGCTTTTATCCTGAAGGGAACCCTAAAGATGTTGCAGGTGAGCTTCCTACCTTACAAGTTACAACCAAGTACTTTAGCCAAGTCCCTAATGTTTGGGAGTATCATTAGCTGATTATGTTATGCTCTTCATCCAGCTGTTTTTAGTATGCATCATACCTAACAAAAAAATTAATATCAACCTTAGATATCTCAGCTGCTCTACTATAACACATAGAATCAGTGTGTTGAAATGGCTAAGGTGTCCTGCCCATCACAAGTAGTTTTAAAAATCCTATCTTCATGCAGTACTGGTTTTGATCATTCTTCTAAAACCTTGCATAATAAATGTGAAACAAGAAAGGGAATACAGGTTTCCCCTGTCTCTGTCCATTTATGAAGAAAGAAAAAAAAACCCTTTAGGTCACCCAGTAGTAAAGAAAGAGAGTGTCATTGTGATGATAATAGAAACTTATCCAATTAATCCGCGTTTCGCCAATTCCCATATCTCTTGGCATATTCATAAAAACTCCAAATTTACATGACCATATGCTTTTTGTATGTGTAGTTAGGAAATAGGCCAAGTTTTTTCTCCGTATGTCAAGACATTCATTTGCTACTAAAATTGCATTCATCATTTCTCTCTCGCTGATGTATGCAATTTCTGTTTTAGTTTCTAATTTATTGACAACCCTTTTTAACCTCGATGTAAGTTGCTTTGCATTGATATTGTAAAGCTCGCAACCTGGCTTTTTCATCTGAAATTCTTTTAACTCCATGGAATATGAGATGCATTTAAGCTTTTCTCGAAAACCTCATGGAGATGGAAATCATTTATGGCCCTCGTTATGTCATCCTTCAACACTTTCTAGCAACTCTAAACGAAACTCATTTATTACCCATCTGGACTAGGAGTTCCTTCATCAGTTTCTTAGTAATATTTATATTATGAAACAGTACGGGAAAAAAGATTTTTTCCTTATATGATCGGATTAAAAAGTAACTTTGGGATTGTTGAATCACGGAGAAAAAAAAGAAAGAAAAAATAAACATATAACGCAATGAAACCGTCAATAGTATTTTTTAACTCCTCCGGAAGGAAGGATGGCAATTTGATCCTTTACTCATATGTGTAATGTTGAAGATTTTAAGAAAAGAAGAACTTCTTCTATTTCTATGTGTCTAGTTATATCTCAAGAACAAGCTACTTCTACAAGGATCCTATGACCTATTCAAATCAAGTAAATATCTAAAATATGGCTTATTCAAATGAAATAAGTCAAAGCTGTTACAGATAACACGAAACAAGGAAACAATATATAACTTATTCTAAACCCTATGGTTCACATCGGTTGCCCTTAGAATTCAGGTTGGGTAGGGGAAAGCCTCTCAATCCCTATTTGAAGGCGAAGATGATCGGTTCTCTTTTTCGAAGGGAATTAAAGCCTAAGGAGATAGGGCTCTTTCCAGACGAGCCGGTGTTCGATGGTGAACGAGAGATAGAGGAGCGCACTCTTCTAGGCCAATGGGTAGATCAGTGGTTGCGATGGCTCTCTTGGTATCACACCTCGGCATGGTCGGGCATGGAACATGTTCACAAGGATCTTGGCATGATGGAAGGCCTAGGAGTATCGTGGGAGCACGAGGGTGCATGTGGAAGAGTGGCCAAGACAATGCCAAGAACACGTCAGGCCATGGAAGCACAATCTTGCGCTATGGAAGGTTCTAGAAGGTTTCGGAGTGATCTAGGAGTTGGTGGAAGCTCCATGGAAGCACAAAGGAGTGGTGGCATCTTAGAGGACTCTAGAGAGTCATAGGAAGCTGCCTAGGTCGGCCAAAGGGGCTGCCATACAAGCTACAAGAAGCTAGCATTCTATAGAAGGTTCTAGAATGGCCTAGCGTGGCCTTGCCCTTGGGCAATAGGGGCTGTCCAATGCCCCACCGACTTAGGGGCCTATTCTACCGACTTTAAGGCTTCAAGAACTCTCCTATAAAAAGAAGGATAGACGAACAAAAGAGAAAGGTTGGAACCCTCGTCCAACCAAGATAATATCGATTGCTCGCCCGGCATCCGCCTCTTCACCCACCGGGGTGGAACGACTCTTAACGAGGTCGATGGACTTGACTTTTTCTTTAGCCTCTCGGCTTCTCGAAGCCGTGGGCCCAGTAGTGCTTTCTTAAAGCCGGTAACCTGATCGACGTAAAAACCGATCTCAAGCTGGATGAGAAGGCAAATAAAGACTAGTGAGAATAGCCGTAATTCAACGAGGCCTTGAATCAGTGGTTTATAGAGACAAGTAGTCATCTGCTTACGGCTAATCTGCTCTTCGAATCATATCTTAGAAACATTCCCCCTCAAGTTGGTTCGAAGATGTCACACATGCCCAACTTGCAAACTAGTGTGTGAAAGGATTTTTTGTTGACCCTTTTTGTAAACATATCAGCTAGTTGTTTCTCTGATGACACATAAGCAAGTCAAGACACCACTTATGATCTTTTGTTTTGATGAAGTATCTATCAATTTCAACATGTTTCATTCGGTCTATGTTGAACAGGATTATGAGCTATACTGATTGCAGCCTTGTTATCACAACACAAAGCAAAGTTTACCTTTTTTAGACAATCTCAATTCCTCTAGTTCCTTTTGTAGCCATAGAAGTTCATAAACACCCTGGGCCAAAGCTCTATATTCTGCCTCTGCACTTAATTTAGCAACTACACTTTGCTTCTTGCTTCTCCAAGTAACTAAGTTCTCTCCTACGAGTGTATAGTAACCGGATGTAGATTTTCTCTCAGCTAGAGATCCATCCTAGTCCGCATCTGTATAGGTTTCTACTTGGAGGTGGTCATGTTTGGAGAAAATGAGACCTTTGCCTAGAGTAGACTTCAAAAACCGCAAAATATGAAAACAACTTGCATATTAGAATCCCGAGATCATGCATTAGCTGATTTACCAAGTTGCCTGAATAAGCTATATCTGGTCTAGTGTGGGAGAGATAATGAGTCTTCCAACCAATCTCTGATATCTCTATTTATTAACTAACTCTCCCGTTCTTATTTGTAACTTCTGATTGCTTCCAATGGGCGGTTCTGCCGGTTTGCAACATGTCGTACCAGTTTCTTTCAAGAGATCCAGAATATATTTCCTTTGAGAAATAAAGGTTCCTCTTTTTTATCTAGCAACCTCAATTCCCAAGAAGTACTGCAATTATACTAGATACTTATTCTAAATTCTTGTGACAAAGACTTCTTTAATCGGGTCATCTCCTCTTTGTCATCTCTTGTCATTACTTTGTCATCAACATAAACTATGAGATGAGGGTGTGATCAATATTGCTTTGTTTGTTGCCGAAGGAGATCATTGCTTTGCAGAATCCGTCAAACCAAGCTCTAGGGGATTGCTTCAATTTATACAAGGCTTTCTTCAGTTTGCACACCTTTCCTTGACTTTGTTCAATATCAAATCCAAAAGGAATCTCCATATACACCCCTCTTCTTCTAAGTCTCCATGAAGAAATGCATCCCTTACATCAAACTGTTGTAAGTCCCATCAAGATTAGCTGCATGAGAGAGAAGAATTTTGATAGCGTTCATTTTAGCAACAAGGGCAATTGTCTCTTGATAATTCATTCCCCAAGCAATCATGCTTTGAATCTTTTGATTGAGCCATCATCTTTGTGTTTCACATGGAAGATCCATTTGCAGCCAACTGGCTTCTTGTCTGGTGGTGAAGTGATAAGTTCCCAAATTGTATTTTTTGACAAGGCTTTCGTTTTTTGAATCATAGCTTGCTTTCCGTTAGGATCTGCAAAAGCTTCCCACCAATTCTAGGGAAGAGACACAGAAGAAATAGACAACGTAAAGGCCCTATTAGGAGGAAGACAGAATTATAGGAGACTAAATTAGATAAAGGGTGTTTAGTGGTGCACGATCTGACTCCTTTTCTATTAGCTATGAGCAAATCTGACTCATTAAGAAGTGTAAATAACTAAACAATATAAGAAGGTTCATCTTCAGTACATCGCATGATGGTTTCTTTCTATTTCACTATGAGTAAGTTTTCAAATCAGGCTTATCCACAGCGTACCCCGGGAAGAAAATCATCCAGAAAAAATTGCTAAAATGTTGTCTACTCGCCGGCACGTGAGGCTGACGGTTGCCGTGAGTTGGACTTCTGGAGGTGCATGGGGCAGTCTTTGTCGAAGCTGCTTGTTGGGGTTTTGTTGCTGTAGAGAGAGAGAGGGAGCCTGTGGTGGTATTAGTTTCCCCACAGGCCACAGCACAACAGAAAGCTCAAAAATTATTGTGACACTAGGCGATGGAGAGAAACTCGACCTCTTTTTTCAATAATATTGAACCCTAGTGCTGCAAGGGAGAAAAACTCACCTCAAAAGACAACAATGGCTCTGATACCACGAAGATTTTAAAAAAAGAAAAAGAACTTCTTGTATTTCTAGTGTCTATTTACATCTCAAGAACAGGCTACTGAAACAAGGTTCCAATGACTGACCTATTCAAATCAAGTAAAAATCTAATCTAATATTTATTCAAATGAATAAGTCGAAGCCGTTACAAATAACAGGCAACAAGGAAACACTATAGGACTCTATTAATCTATGACTTATTCAGGAAACAATATTCCTAAAAATCCTCCTACAATCAACAAATTTTGCCTCGAAGGGTTTTTGAAGTTGTTCGCTTTCTTCTTCAGTTATCTTTGGAGTGTCTCTTATATAAATATACAGTCTCCACTTTGTTTCTGTTTGTATATAATTCTGTAGAATTCTACTATCGTCCGTCTTAATGTCATCTTGATCTCCTTAATTACTTGATTCACTTGTAACTTTTCAATAGGGTCGTAGCTTCCATGTTTATTAGTAAT